TGAGTACATTCTATGAACGTTTATAAAACGTTCTTGAACGTTCGCAACGTTCTTGAACGTTTTGTGTTAGCTGGGTGTTCAAAAAACATATCAAAAATTGGTATACAAAAAATTGTTATTGTAAAATCTGTCATTTTTAACTACTATTTTTATTTATCCTGACGTTATAATACAATATTTACTCATTTTTCTGTAATGAAACGGTTGTAAGTTAAATATTTTAATATTATTTGTAATTTATATTATAATTTTGTAAATAGTAGTTTGTTTTTTGAATACTTTTTAAAAACTTAATCGTAAATTGACTATATATATGTGGACATTTTTTAAAACGATTTTTATTTGAGTGTGTATTGTCTATAATTGTTAAATGTGTTGATTATAATTAGTTTTGTTCTTGTTAAAACTATTATAACCATCAACAAAAAATAAAGCTTGTTAATTAAATTAAATTAGACAGATGGAATAATAATAATAACATTGGGATGTAATAATTTACTACTATAGTAGATTATTTCATTCGCCTGAATTATTCCATCCACTGTGTATTAATCACATTTATTTGATTCATGTGAATAAAAAATTGGTAAACGATTTTTAAATGACTATTATCTTTACAACATAAACATAAAAACAAAAAAAAATAAGTTGTAAAATTAGTTGTAATTTGATGTTTTACACATTGACATGAAATAATCTACTACTCTAGTAAATTATTCTATCCTACTGTGTAAAAAACAGAGCTATTGTTTAACTGTTCGGTCATTTCTAACGGCCACAACTTTAAAACGCATTCTCGTTTTGAGTTTTACGCATTGGGATGGTTAAAATTAGGCGCAGATTGAATAAAGTACCACATATCACATTTAATTTTGTTTATTACAAATGTTTCTAATCGGAAAAAACATAACTGTTTTACGGCCGTCAAAAAGCCTTTAAAAAGAAAATCGTAAAGTATTACCGAACTCTCGACACTTTGGTATTCGTCGTTAAAATAAATGAGAGGTTGTCCGATTTTCTAGCTGACCATCTGAATCAAATTATGTACAGTGATAGAATACAATATCGATGCCTTTTTGTTACTAGAAAAGTTGTGCCTAATAATTTTAATCACTACTTTTTAAACTATTCTTCAAGTTAAAAGGCGATTTGCATTGGCCCTCATATTGTCGTTGGTGGTTTTTTTTTATATTTTGCTAGGTATTATTCAGTTTAGCCAACAATTTTTGAAAAACTGTTTGTTTTAAATGAAATTTGTAGAAGGTCAATAGAACTACTATAAAAATTTGGACTGGCCTTAAACTACCTGAATGCTGTAAAGGCAAAAAATGGCCCGTAGCAAGCAAAAAATTTAAATTTTATTTTAACAATTGAAAGTCTTTTATGTCATTTATTTTTTTGCTATAAATATATATGAACAGATCAAAAAATAATAAAATTGAATTGTGTTAAGAGGCGGATTTAAACCCTCGCAAAACGAAACCGATGAATTAACAACTGAGCTATCAAAACTATGTATGTATGACTATTTTATAAATTTTTTATAAGCTCTACACATACGGAGAAGATGCGTATGTTAATTTTTTTAAGCTCCTAAAGTAATTTTTTAATAAATTGCTCTTGTACCGTTGACTACAAAATATTGAAGTAAATAAGAAGTATAGAAATAGCCGGTTTGGTGGAAACCGACTATTTCTATACTTCTAATCGACTAAAAGTCAATTTAGCCGAGTGAAAATCATAAAATCCTTATCTTTTTATTCAATTTAACTTTCCAATCTTTTATTTTTGGTTGTACGTTTAGAAATAAGAGCTATGTACTATTATAACTAGAGATATAGGTATAGTGATTTTGCCGAATAACAAATATTCAGCTAGATGCTCGGCCGAAGTACCAAGTATTCGGCTGCCGAATATTCGGTGACACTTTCCTATTTTGAGGGTTCCGATCTGGTTCATTGAAGTATATATCTTGGGTATACTGGCAAAAGAAGTTGTCAAAAATTAACAGTTTTGAGTTAATGATGCAGTAAGCTGGCCCCTCGGCCCAGGGGCAAAACTAAGTTGACGCTGGCCCTCGGCCCAGGGGCAAAACTAAGTTGAGGCTGGCCCCTCGGCCCAGGGGCAAAACTAAGTTGAGGCTGGTTCTCGGCCCAGGGGCAAAACTAAGTTGAGAAGCTCCAAAATCAAAATGTTTTCATTACAATCACATTTTAAATATGATTTTAAAAACTTTGATATATAACAAGTATTTAAAGAAGTCCCTAAATCATTAGTGTCTGGGAATAAATTATCCAGATGTCGGAGTGGCCGTCCTCTCATATTGTTTTGCTCCATTAACATTTAAATGATATGAAGTTAAAAAATAGAAAGCGAAAGTTAATTTCTGTATTATTTTTGTAACAATTTATTTAAAAAAAATTAAAAATTATTCCCAAATTTCGATTAAATCAACTTTTAGTCGATTTTAAAAATGCATTAGTTGATTTTAGTCGACTTTAGAAAATATATTAGTCGATTTACAGTCGAATTATTTAATAGTCATAACAACACTAGTCATGATAGAGATACTTATGCTATTAATGTGCTAACGTTATTTAACGTTATTTAACGTTATTTAATGTTATTAGTTTAGCCTCCTGCGCGCTTAACACATTAAAAAGACAACTTTCTTTCTTTTAGGAAAAACGATTTTACATTTAAACGTCTATTTTCTTTAAAATTAGTTAACGGGGCTAGGGTCTTAATACGCTGCGGATTGTCTGAAAAAAGAATACAATAAAAATTTATTAGAAAGTTAAATTATTTTTCTTAAGAATTTAGTAAATAAAAATTTAGCAACTTAAATTAAGTCTTAAGAAAGAAAAAAAACGAATAAGCCCATCCCCGTTTTTTTATAGAAGTTTACTATTTTACAATGAACATTTGAAATAAAACTATATAGTTTTAATAAAACTATATAGTTTTTTATTTCAAATGTTATAAAATAAAAATATATAAAGAATAAATATAGAAATGGTCGGTGAATAATAGACTTACCAAGATTAGAGCCGTGTCATTGGAGTAAAAAGAGACATATAAGGGGTAAAGTGGGACAAGCGAGTAACTATTAACATATTAACAAAAATCATTAATTAAAAACTATTAAATCCGTTAACCACGTAATCTTCATCAAAATAAACTAGAGGTTTCCATAACATAATTACAAAAAAGTGAAATTGGAAATCAATAATTTTTCTTTTTTACCTCAAAAAAAAAATGTTTTTAAGGTACTTTTTTTTTTTTTTTTTTTTTTTTTTAATTATTCACCTCCCCAAGGCCCGAGGGGGCCACTACAGTCGAGGAAGCTACTCATTTTTTTTTTTTTTTGTTGTAAATCGTGGTACTTTTGTGCTAAAAACTACAAAAATGTAGTTTTTACCATAAAGGAAGACAAAGCGAGTGGTAATTAGAGGAGATGAAATTTTATAGACAACATTTATTAGAGATCTCTCCTAATTGAAATATTTGGAATGTCTCACTTCATCCGCGTCCCACTTCTCCCTAATTTTTCCTACACAAGCATATCCCTCTCTTCATTAATGATATCACATAGTTCTTTGGATAAAAAAAAATCTTTAACTAATCAAAACTAGTATACGAAGAAGCACTTAAACAAAACAGTTTTAACAACTTAAATTTCAACTTAAAAAAACAACCCCTAAATAAAAAAAATACATAATTTGGTTTAATACACTATATAATAAAAGCACCTCAACAATGTTGCAAAATTAATGCATTTAATAACAACCATTTTCCACCTTCCAACCCACTACACAAACTATTTAATTGAAGCACCACAAATATTAGTTACAGCTACTCAAATAACTTTTCAAAATTCAGAAAAAGTCACAACAAAAATTCAAAAGGTACGACTGAATTTGCAAACTAAAAGAAATCGAATAAAGATTGTAGAGTGAGAAATATAATTTACAAATGCACAACATCTTTCTCAAACACATCAAGCAAAGCATACATTGGTTTATTAAAGAGTGGATATGTAAAAAGGAATATGCAAATCATAAACAATCACTTAAAAACAAATGAATGACAATTTTAAATGCAACCATGCTTTCAAAATATATATGAAAAACTAATGAAATATTCAAAGAAATGCCTATATTGGTCCATATAAAAAAGAGCCTCTGCTTATACCAACACAACAAAAAAACAATACTCTGTTTATATTTAAAAAAAAATTATTTTAATATATGAAAATGCCAAGAAGCTACTAAATAAAAAACAGGTGTTTTTCAAAGAATTACTTTACTTTGTAAAAATGCCAAAGGTGATTTTGTCCTATAAATAAATTCGTATCAAGTAACCACAAACCTGAAGATTAGCATACGTGCTCGTAACAATAGCTCTATGTAATAGTTTTACGTAACCAATTTCATTTGCATATAAATATTTTGATGAAAAAAAAATTGTTTTTCAAAATAAGAAAATAAAACTATGAATATCATGAAACATAAAGTTGTGAAAATCTTATAGTTTTATTTTCTTATTTTTGTTTTAATATAATTTGATTAAATTATATACTAGCGATATTTTGCTGACCTTAGAAACCAATTAAAGTTTTTTGCAGGAAAAAAAGAGAATGTAACTGAGCTACTACTTTAAACAATTTAGAAAAACATAAAAAAAAAAAAAAATCTCCATAAAAATTGATATAACTTAATGTATAGTAATTATTTATAATCTTGCAAGTAGTACTTGTATAAGACTCCACTAAAGTAACTCTTAAATTACCTATTCCACTGAAGTAATTCTTAGACTTGTGAAACTACTACTTATAAAAAACCTTGTTTTAAAGTTTTTCAAAAATTTATTAAGCACTTAATTTTACAAAAGTGAAAAAAGTTATAAAATTAAACCCCGTCGTTAACGCGCTCAACCTGTTTTGCTGTAAACAGCTCCTTAAAATTTGTATTTGGAAAATATAAATTTGAATAATAAAATAAAAAGAGTAGTCACTACAGTAGTGTCCAAACCCTTGACCTTGAACAGGCAAATTTATGCAAAAAAAAAAAAGCCATACCTAAAGAAACAACAACCCCTATATTATCAGCTTGCTGTTCACTTGTGTTACCATGGTACTTTTTATACTTGTGTATTTCAGCAAGTGTATCAAGTGTAGGATTATTGGCTATAAACCCTCCATCTATGTAACGATCATTTGGTCGAAAATATACTGGTGCTGAACAAGAATTTCTTACTGATAACCAAATGGTTTGGTCTATGAAAAAATAAAAATTATTTTATAATATAAAAAAAATAAAAATTTTGAACTTTTTAGTAATTTCAGCTTATTTATGGATTGGTTTTTTAAATTTTTTCATTAAATTTTTTCAGCAAAAATTCAAAAAAAAATCTAATTACTAGTACCTTTGGTAAATATTTACTATGGTGGCCAAATACATCTATGGTTACTAGTATCAATGGAACTGAAAACTTTGGTAATAGAATAAAATTTACAAAAAATTAGTTCCTAGATGTGCATATTATAAATGTTAACTTTAAAACATTTAAACATGTCAAAGCGATTACTGTATAAAAATCATTAAATTAAACTTTTATATAAAAAATTTTTTTATAAATTTTTATAAAATTACCAGAAGGTAATGCAGGTTGTGGAAATTTATCATCTTTAATTTGGTAATTATCATCATATGGAGCATCGTAGTTTCGAAAAATATGTAGCATAGCTGGTTTTCTGTCTGTTAGCACTGCTGGTATAATTAACCTGTTATAAAAGAACTTTTTAACAACCAAACCAAAACGGAATGACTTATTAAAAGAAAATTAGTTAAAATAATTTTAAAAAATTTCTTTTTATAAGTTAAAGTTAAACAAAATGCTTTGATAAAGTTAAATAGGAATAGTTAGAAAAAGCTTTTGCACACAAAAATAAATATTAAAATAAATAATACAAAAATAAATTTTTTCTAACCTTAAAAAAAAAAAAAAAAAAATCAAATAGTGACTTTGAAAAAATCATGAAAAATTATAAAAATTTACTTTGGATGTTCTATTTCATTCATTTTTTTATTATCACCAAATTCATTCATCAGAAATTTATCCATTAGTTCAGTTGAGTAAGGTTTACTTCCAACGAAACATTCATGAGCGAGACGTAAATATGCGCGTTGCATATAGCGAAGACTTTTACCTGCATAATAAATTGTAGAAGAAAATTAATACTGAATTACTGTTTAGCTATTTTTGACTTTTATTATAATTATATAAATATTTATAAACTTTTTTATCTAAATATCATTAATCAACATGTTCTATAAACTGTAATTGGAAAAAAATAGAATAAAGAAAACCATTTGCTATTGACACTGCCAAAACAGAGCCAGTACTAGTTCCACTGATCCAATCAAATAGGTCATATATTTGGCATCCAGTTAACGTTTCAAGTGTCAACAATATTTCTATTAAAACTAGTCCACGTATTCCACCACCATCTAATGAAAGAACAGCTTCTTTCTTTGTCTTCATTTTCAAAACAGATTGTGCGTGTGATGAAGTTTCAGGTAGTTGGATTTTCTTACATTCTTTAATTTTATCTTTGTCTAAAAAAACAAAGCAAGAACTTTGTTCTGTTTATTGGTCACTTGTACGAAAAATTTTGTAAATTGGTCACTTAAAACGTAAAAACACGTAAAAAAAAGTTGTGAAAAAAGTTTATAAACTGATTTCAATAAAACAAAACATTTTATTAACTGCAAAAATTTGAAAAAATGGTTAATTAGAATAATTAAAGTTAAAAAATTTCATAAAAAACAGTAAAAGGATATAATAAACACAAGTAATATATGAAACTTGAATTCACCTTAGCACTAACTTTACAGACAAACTAAATTTTCTGTATTGTTCTTTTTTAACTCTAACAATGTTTTTAACAATATCTATTTATATCTATGGTTCATGGTTTAACAATGTACAGTAATATATAAAGTATTTTTTAATGATATGCCTTTTAGGCATATCATTAAAAAATCTCCTAATAAAAACCTCTTAATATCTTATCAATAAAACTCCAAATAAGTATTGAACAAAAATGGTAAATACTAATCTTACCCAGACCTAAACCACAACTGTTTTTCTATAATTATGTAGAATTCTTTTCTTTCAAAATTTTTTTATTTGTTAAAGCTGCGCAAGTATTGCAGAAAGTGTTGCAGAACTATTTATGACATTTATTTCCTTAAAACTTAAAGGATCAATATAATATATTTGAAGACTGGCGAATAGTCTTGCAAAATCAATTTACGAATATTTGTACATACCATTTTAATGTATTTTACAAATACTCGTATTTACGAATATTTGTACATACCATTTTAATGTATTTACAAATACTCATATGTACTAATCTTATTTCTGGCTATATTCTAATATATTTGAAGACTGGCGAATAGTCTTGCAAAATCAATTTACGAATATTTGTACATACCATTTTAATGTATTTTACAAATACTCGTATTTAGGAATATTTGTACATACCATTTTAATGTATTTTACAAATACTCCTATTTACGAATTTGTACATACCATTTTAATGTATTTTACAAATACTCGTATTTACGAATATTTGTACATACCATTTTAATGTATTTACAAATACTCGTATTTACGAATATTTGTACATACCATTTTAATGTATTTACAAATACTCGTATTTACGAATATTTGTACATACCATTTTAATGTATTTACAAATACTCGTATTTACTAATCTTATTTCTTGCTTTAACTCTACTGATGAACAAGTTTATGTTACTAACTTAACACAACATTGTTTGTGTGTGGGAAGGATATCATTTCATTGTTTGTGTGTGGGAAGGGTTGTGTGTTGTGTCAATTTTGGAATTTCGAATGTTCTGAGACTATGTTGGTCAGATCTTGCTTGAAGAATGCGTCTAATAGGAAGCTCCCAAATGTTTTTCATCTTATCTGAAAGCATACACAAAAGAATATTTTTAGGATGTGCAAAATAATTACTGGTTTAATTACTGCTTTTAGGTCATCAGACAAATAGCAAGACTTATGAACTGTTTGCCAAACATGGTGCGCATCATCCTTATAAGATGAATTGGCCATAATTAAAAACCAAACTGGTGCATACACCTTCATGATATATGTTAAAAGTGTAATCAAATTTTTTGAAGGGTTAGTTGTTGAAACATAGATCCGCTAACCTATTTCCTGTTGTTAACCATCTAGCTTGTGAAAGTGTTTCCAGTTCCTGTTGTGACAAGTCAGTAAAGCAAGTTCCACTAGTAATACATATCACAAAAATATTTTTGATCAGCACTAAGTTGAATATTTGTCATATATATGGTATATATATGGTATATATATGGTATATACGGTAAATCTGGATCAATTGAAACAAATGCAACAACTGGGAATTTTTTACAGTTTGACATTAGCTCTCTGGTGAAGGGGTAGCTCATTTGCGAAGAGTTGCTATATAAACCACTGTAAAGATTTTCCTAATTCCTCTTTTAAAAGATTAATTACTCCGCCTTTGTGGCCATATTGTGTTGATATTGATCCCATCTCATCCTACAGCAACCAAATTATCCAATGTTTCTTTTATCTAAAATAATTCTTTAGCATTTGATAAGTTACTCTAATATATTCTTTATTTAAATCATAAAATAATTTTCTTTATTTTTTTTAAATTAAATATTTAAATCTGTGTCAAACCTGTGAAAGTGTCTTCGCAATAACAAAAATATTTTCACTTGTTAATTCACAAGAGCTTTAAAGACTACTACCCAGACTCCGACCTGTTTTTAAAGTAATTCAGAAAACTACTTATCCCCTTTTTTGCTGACCCTGAATTTATTGTTACATGCTTATTATTTTTTAAACCCTGGTTTCTCTACGAGAGATAAATGTTCTTCAACAACTTTTTTTTTGTACCATTTGCTTCCTTTGAATACATTTGTAAACATTTGATCTTTTTTCCATCAAAGCATGTAAAATCTTATATTTATTTGCATCAATTTCTTGAAGATTTTTTCTCTTTCTAAGCCTCTTCTAATTTTATTTTTTGTTAATAACATTTGTTGAATCTTTTGGTCTTGATAGTCCAAAACTTTGTTGTATGGCGGATGCAATAAATGCTGCTTCTCTATCTGAAATTCCAGGGCAATCACATGCTGTTGCTAATTTAGCAAGATCTCTTTTTAGTATTTTTTTTATTTTCTGTTTTAGGACAGAAAATAAAGACAGACAGATTTTTGGTTTATTTGCAGTAGAAGTAGTGCATGATGTTAAAATCTTGTTATTAGATTTAATAAAATTGTGGTTTTATTTTCACTAAGATTTTTTTGCAGTTTCGTCAAAGGTTATCGTCAAATTCATCAGGACTTTCATTTTCAGGACTGTTTTTGACACTATTTTCCACATATTGCTTCATTTTTTTTATTCAAGCAACATCAACTATTTTTCGCTTATACTTGCACTTAAGCTTTTTTGTGAGAGTTTGATAGACCTGACTAATTATCATCAATTAAGTAGATCTTTGGTTGCTGAGAATGCTTGTTCATTACTTTACACTCCTTCTGACAATAACATCTATTAAACAAACATTTACAAGCATCGAAAAGATAGGAATGAGCTACCCCTTCACCTTCCCTCTTCCCAAGACATGTTCATGCAACAAAATGGGAATAAATTCTCTAATCCAAATTTCTTTAATTCTTAATATATAACATGTAATTGTTAACTGCTAATAACCAAAAATTTAATTACCCACGATTTATTATTTATATAAGATTACCTAAGAAAAATGAATGGTTGTTGTTGGTTGTTATATTAGGTAGAATGAAAATGTATAGTTATTACAACACATATACAATGGCGTTTTTTATTTTGCTATGTAAAACTTAAAGAAACCATACTACAAAAACTATATTTGTTACTTTTTAATATAAACTACAGTTTAAAATTTTGAGCAAATTTTGAAAATTTGCAGAGCAAATCACTTGCCTTATCTTCACAATTAATTTGTTTTTCCATATACAGAAAACATTGTATTTTAATAGAAAAATATTTTCTATTTAAATACAGTATTATAGTGAGTTTTTGGCAAATGGATTGCTCAATATTAAATCATCAAAAATGCAAAAAACTACAAAAAAAGTATTCTATGATTAAGCCTCTAACTAAATAAAGGTTTTGGTCAACTAAAATTGTCACTAACTAAATTCATTTTTTAAAAATGTACTCTCAATATAAAAAAGCAACATTTTTTTGCTATAGTAAGCAAAAAATGGAAAAAATTTGATGAAAAAAAAATAAAAGAATGATGGCCCACCCTACACCTGAGGTCTGTTAAAGATGAAAAAGCAACCATGACTTTTCTCCAACTAAAGACAATAAAAAATGTTTTTCTTTTTTATTAACATACAGAGTAGTTGAAAAAAGGAAAAGTCTGTTATCTCCTCAGATAAGTATCCTAAGTTATTTGCAATAGACATGATTTTGAACTCTTGCTTTTGTAGTTAGACTCTAAAGACATTTGATTAACCCATTGACGGACATTCAAATCACTCTATCTTCCATTGTCAAAGTCATATCTTAATTAAACTCTTCTATGGCTTGTGGTCCAGACAACATTCTTGTCATAGTCTTACAAAATTGTTCTCCAGAACTCTCTCAATTCTTTCTTTGGCCTACTGGTCTTCTTATCTTCATTGTATCTGTGAAAGTTTTTGAGATTATCAATTTTTTTCGCTTTATTAAAGTCAACAATCTTCTTTGTTTCCAGTAACTTCTAGGGTATCTCAAGATTTATTTTTGGTCCTGTTTTTTTCTTGTAACCTTACATCTAACATGGCTCTATTTGCTAATTACTCAACTTAATACTCCTATTGTGACAAAAAGTCTTCTCTTTCCGATTGCTTAGAACAGGCAGCCAATCTTGAATCTGATCTCACTTCTGTAACAGATTGGGACTTGCAGTGGCATGTTTAAATAAAAAAAAAATCAGTTATTTACTGCAAACAACTATCGCAACAAAGTCGACATTCCTATATTGATGAGTAGCAAACCTCAAACTGAGTCCTTTCTTTACCTCTTCTTGGATTATTGCTCACTACTGACCTCTCATGGAAACCATATATACAATCGATTGCTAAATTCGCATCTGATAAGGTCGCTTTTCTTTATCGTGCAAAATCTTTTCTTTGTCCCTGTATAGAATACTGTTGCCATATTTGGACTGGTTCTTCTAATTATGCTTTTCTCTTTCTAGACAAGGTTCAAAAAGGTATTGTAAACATAGTTGGACCACCTCTATCTGCTAAACTTGAGACTCTCTGCCATAATCATCAAGCTGCATTTCTTTCTCTTTACTATAAATACTATAATGGTCACTGCTCAAAGGAGCTATGATCTCTGGTCCTGAGTCTTGAAATGATTTTTCAACCATTAGTGGTGATTTTGGTTGTTGTTTACTATTTATTGGGCTTATCCATCTTGTTTTGTGTATTTGCTTGGAAATATTTAAAAATATATGAATCTGAACAATTTATTTTCATATTAAAAAACTGCA